ATGGTTCTCAGTCATTTTCGGTAAAAGGAGACGATGGATTATGCTTCTGACAAAGCAACCTAAAAACAAAACAAAACAGCTGATTACAGTCAAACAATCACAGCCAACAATATTTGTGCATTACTTATCTCCATGCAACTAGAATATCTGTCTCTGCCATCCAGAGAACTATGCCATGTCCAGGTTGGAAAGACTATCAAAATAAGTCTACTGATACACTACAATTTGCAATTATCAATCTCATACTGTTTTTGAGTCTCTTAAAGTAAAGGTTGCATATAACTATAACTGTCTGTGAGGCCTCTGGCAGACAACCAATTAAGGTATGATGGGATCTGATCTGCAATGCCAAGAACCACTTACATGTGCATGACAGGGGGCACAACTGTGCGATCAGGGATCAGATCCCAACTGCACCCTAGTACTTGTGCAGGGAAAGGCAGGGATCATGACCCCAGGTTCTCCCTACACTGACAATTAACAAGCTGGGTGCCGGCTGCACCTAGCTCAGAGTACCAGGTAGCTGGTCTAGCACCCCCAGCCTTGGGTGTGTTGTTCATCTGATCAGTGCTGGCCATACATTCAATTTATGGCACAAAGGGAGCCAGCCAGAAAAGCATTACACATTTTGTGACTTATTCTCTGTTTAACTGTACCATTAATTGCATCAGTGTGTGGCTCAGTTACAAACTAAGACATGATTGACTGGTTAATCATGTCTTAAGTGTAACATCTACCAAGGGCCTTACAAAGCTAAATGCAACTGTATCTAACGCTTTCAGCACAATGCACCTCTACTCTACAATAATTAAAACAGCCTTACACCAGTAACAAAGTAGTAACATTAATTTCATTTGACATTGATTACACCCAAAAGAACTAGTTCTCGTATAATGAAGATTTCCCATCCTCTTTAGATAAAAGTATTAGGACCATTCCAAGCTGTGCATTCAATGTTTTTATAAGCTCAAGTGAAAACACCACACAGTTTTGTACATACAGTGTATACGAGTTATACTTGAAAAGCCAAATCAGTACTGCATTTAGTGAACCTTCAGCTAATATTGCGCACACATACAATAAAAGTCTTAAATTTAAAGGAGCTACAAGCACTGGGCAAATACTCATTAAGCAAATGATCACCCTGTGGAAGTATTGCACTACAGTGCTCCTTGAAGAGAAGGCAATAGGGGCACAAAGAGGTTAACTGATTTCCTCAAGGGTTTAACGCGGTAGTGGACAGAGGAATCCCCTGTGTAGTCCGCGTTAATCAGGGTATTTCATTTATGCTCTGGAAAGACTAAGATAGAAAGTTCCATGACCTCCAGGGTCTGGAAATGAATGCAAAGAACCAGGCAGCTTTTACAGCCTGTATCATGTTATGAGATGCTAGCATCTCCTTGAAAGAAGATCAAGTCAGCATGTCTGGAGTCATGCGCTGATAACGTCAAGTCAGTACATATAAAAGGATGTTTTCTTTCTGCCCTGACAAGAGTCAATGTTGTGTGCATCATCATAGCCAGACTTACTTTTTCAGGGCAGAATTCTGTATTGCTTTGCCTTAGTTTGCTTGGTCTACCTTTAATAACTGCATAGCAGAACATTGTAATCACCATCACAAAGAGAAAATAACTGGTATGCATGAGATGCAAGTTTATTAGCGAGCGATCATCCTGCAAAGAGAAACAGAACAGTTTACTGATTCTGTACACAGAGAAGGTGTTTCACATTCAAGTGGCATCCGAGCAGATAAGTGGAGAATCCACCTCTCCAATCTAGCTTCTTTTCTCTATGCGTAGGATATCCTTCACATTGCCAAAGCACAGCTTAAAGTTTAAGGTAGGAAGCAGCCCCATGTTTCAGCACTTAAGATGACCCAAATTTTCAATTAGGGTTAAAATATTTGATGTAGATTAGCAATTACTTTGATGTAATTTTATTGTTCCTACAGCCATGCACACCCTCCCACTAGTAGCACCTTTAAAAACAGCCAGATTTGAAAATGCAGGCCTTAGCCAACGAGGCTGAGAGGTAAGTATGGGATACACAGAGGGTGCCATGAAACGTAGACGTCTCTGTCAGAGCTCTGGCCAAACAGTGCCACATCACTCACTAGCTTAGGATCTGAGGAACAGAGTACCTTATCTAATTAACGTGGTATCAGACATGCATTCATGAGAGCGCAGAAAAGCAGGTGGAACTTACATCTGGAACTATAACAGTTAGCTTGGGATTTAAAGCATGATAGACCTTTCCAATGGCTCCTTTGTAACACCAGAACGGGTTATAATCTTGTGCATATTTTGTATTCGAGTCCCTGGCTGTAGTAAAAATCTTGTACCAGAGTGTAGCATTGCTGTATGTTTCTGGGACACAATGTGGTGGCTGACTGGAAAACAAACAAAAACAGACAAATTGCTATTTTCTGTCTTGTATGGGTAACTTTCAACATGTGCTTAGACCCATTCTGCCTTTCAGCTGTGTTAATCGTTGCTTTGTTCAGAATCATTCATAATGTAACAGCAAAATATAACTGCTTAAGCAAAGACAAGTTCAGAGCTGGTATCAGCCTACATCTTTCACTGAGAACTGTTCCAGGCGTCAGCCGACCATGATTTATGTACTAGTTTTTAAACATATCAGTTTCCTTTTTTTATTTTGATACAGCTTGAAGGCAAACCCTACTTGAGTTCTTGTAATGTATGAATACTGCTGTCAGGGTGTACCTTCTTTGGGAGATGACGAACCCTGGTACACATACAGAAGACCAAACCTGTTGCCACCAGGACCTGGGTGATGCGACTCTTTAAGAACCCAACTCTCAATCTGCTTTTCATTTCTATTTTTTGTACACATGGATTTTATCACCACTGTTTATTGAATGAAGGTGTGTGTTACTTGCAGAATGGGTACAGTGCAGACAGCTGCCGTGTAAGGTTCCTCACACTGCCTCCACCCCACCTCTGAAAGTGCCTTTACGTGAGAAAATCAGTCACTCGCCGACATACGTTCGAGCCTTGTCTCCTCATCGCACATCAAGAAAAGTGGACCTGTTAGGATACTTGTTTTTGCCATGTGACCATCCTTCTACTGGAGAAAACAGACCACATGCCCACCAGTCACCAGATAATAATCACATTTTGATCACTAGTAACCTGGGCTTTGAACAAACTAGCAATTTAGAGATGATGGTAATAAAACCTAGTTTTTACTATAGTGGTTTTCACTAATAGATATAAAAGGATCTAATACCCTTACCTATCCTGCTGGATACATAGCTGTACTCATTGTTCCATCTTAAAAAAAGATTTTAATAAATGTATCTTATATTTTCCACTCTTTATCTATTTCAATTCTCACTGAGGCCTGAAGATCTTACAGCCTCCAGTGTGCTGTAACCATCAGCTCCTACTGAATCCAGGTAGAGTCATCTCCAAGAAGTCTTAACTATTGCAGTATTTCTACACCCCTTAGAAAACACCAGTTCTCAGTTTTCACTAGTTTTTTTGATTGCAGAAAAATAAGAGAGTTTTTCTACTGCAAAGAACTCAGAAAGACCAAGACAGGTCAGAATGTTTTTGACGCTATAGATTCCCATTTGAAACCTCTTGTGAATCATGTCTGCACACACCTGACAGTGTACCATTGTGTGGTACCCTTGAGAGGATCTCAGGGTGCACAGCATCCGGGCTGAGAATCAACGGATTAGTATCTCTAGGAGCATTTAAGCACTGGATCAGATTGCCTAGAGAGGGGTAGAATCTCCATCACGGGACGTTTTTGAGAGCAGGTTAAACAAACGCTAGTCTGGAACAGCTTAGGCAGGGATAATTCTGCCTTGAGCAGTGGGTTGACCTCCTGAGGTCCCTGCCAGCCCTGTTTTCCTGTGATCCTAGCAAAGGAAAATGGATCACCTTACATTCACAGTCAACGTTGGTACTCATGGGCACACTCAAGAAAAGCATCCAAGTCATTAAACAGAAGCTGCTTATGTACTGCTAAGAACAACAGTTTAGAGATTCACTTACACTGTGACAGGAAACACATTGCTGGCTGCTGTGACAGTCATACAGGTTGTGAATACCACCTGCTCACAGTGCCCATGGAGAACACAGTCGTCTGAATTCCAAGCAGCAGGCAGGGTGAATGTAATGTTTATCTCCTCGTGGGATTCTCTGCCTTTTAGAATAAGAAAAGTGGTTTTTGTGCTGACAATGGTAACAGTGGCAAGTACGAGGATGAGGAGGGCACGCAGCTGGGCCCAAACCCAGCCCTGTGGTGGCATTTTGGGGCCATCATTCAGAGGGAGCAGGAGTAAATTGAAAACAGCTCCCATTTCCGCTGAACACCCTCCCCCCCAGCAACCACACCCTTACGCAACACAATTACACCTGCATCTGGTATTACCACAGTCGTATCTTTAAGGCTTTGATTTTGGAAAGTTCCTTCCTACAAATACCACAACGTTAGCCTTTTTCATCCCCAAACCTGGACTTATCACCTGCTTTTCCTAGAGTTCCATTTTTACTTTGAAGAACTCCATACAAGACATAACCATCCAAAGACAAGTGCCTTCACGTGCTCAGCAATGCCAGCTGGCAGAGCCCAGAGAGCACCACTGGGGTCTCTAAGAGGTGATACAGCTTGGTTCACAGGGATGAATCTGTAACTAACACACAGTTTAAATTCAGGTGGCCTGAATCAAAACTGTATTATGTAGTTTTGGAAAGAGTTAAAGAGAGATACTTACCACCAGCAATAAAGATTTTCAGCTGCAGCATGTTTGCTACAGGATCTCTTAGATACAAGCATCTTAATTTCACAACACTATTATAAAACCCCATTAAATACCTGCAGGGGCTGACCATAAGGTTTTTACCACATTTACCATTTCTAGTAAATCCCTACAAATGGATCTGTCCAATTGGCCTCACTGAAAAAGTTTAATTATCATTACTTGCTGCTTTTCAATTGCTCAATGTCAGTCCCTAGGAAGTTCATGTTATATTTTGTTTAAAGCACAAACACAACCTTTCTAGTTTGTGTACAGCTGGATCTATAACACAGAAGGCACTAAATCTGACTGGGGAGCGATCCCCGGTGCTTTAGTGTATACCAGAGTAGGGACTGCTAAGGGAACATGTAGCAGCTTCTTTCAGAGAATTCTGCTGTTTTAAAAAGTCTCTCCAGTAAATATTTTTGCAAAGCATCATCTTGTTAATCAGCAGGCTTACATGACCCCTACCATTCTGAACCTAGGGGAAAATAAAACAAATTTATCAAAATCAACCATGTAGGATCTCCTACTATATGACGACAGCATTGGCAAGGCACATAAATTCTAGGAAAAAGATCTATCTCTTCATAAACACTTGGATGAATATTATACTGTTTTCCAGCATTTCTAATTTTATAAACACAGTTCAAATATTTACATTTTGCATACCTGAAAGTCCAATTTGGTGCCCAAAAATTGTGGAACTTAAATGTGTGACATTACGGGAGTACCCGCCAAATGGTTTGAGTGGGTCCAGTGTCAGAGTGATTGTAACAGAGATGTTTATTGGGCCAGAGTCCTCAAGAGTCTGTGGTGACTGTGTAGAGGATCTGGCTTGTCCACTAGTCACTGTACTTTCTGGAGTCGTAGTGTCGTTGATGAGATGCTTTAAGGTTTCATTTTCTGATATACAGAAGTCCAAATCATTAAACCTCAGGAGGAAAGTATTCCAGTCCTTAAAGAAGCAAGATTTATATGAGATTAGCGAGGTTAGATGAGACTAGCAAGAGTTTTAAATCTACACATCACTGAAATACAAATTCAATCCAGACCCGACATCAGTGAATAGAAACACGCTCATTGAAATCTCAACAAGACATACCTAGCATTATTTATTAAAATCAAAAGCTCATTCTGATTCCCATCACACTCCAACTAACTGACTCTCTATAGAAAAGAGACATACCTAGCTTTATTTGTTAAATCAAAAGCAATTCCGATTCCTATCACACTCCAACTGACTGACTCTCTATTTTCAAAGCTGTAGGAAGCCCAGTATAACTACTGTACATATGTAGCTGAAGTAATGTTGGTATATTCAACACTGACTTATTCTACCCAATAACTATTCTGTTCCACAGAGGATACAAGGAATTGCCATTTAAACCTCCCTCATGTTCATAATCCCAATTGTGGAAGAATTTTGTAAGTTAACTTGCACCAAAAACAAGAGAAGCTCCATGAACAAACTGTTTGTCAGAACATAATAAAAAAAGATAAACTCCATTACTAGAATTAATGTAGCCTCCTAACGGCCACTATCTATCTTGCCCTCTCCTTATCAAATTAATTAAAAATGAAGACTATTCTTTATAAAAAGGAAGCACCCACTTACAGGCTGGAGATAAACAAAACAGTGATGTAAACTGAGATATTCTAGGTATTTACTTTCAGAAAAACAGGTTAATTCGGTTTGTTAAGGCAGCATATGCCAATACTAAACCCAAGAGTTGTGTATGTTGCATACACAGGCTGTTCATACTATACCTCTGTCATCTCTGGAGACTTGATCTCTTTGATTTTAAAGAAGTAACCCAGTGTCAGAAAAGCTATTGCCATGGCGCTTACGCTGATCATGAAGACCACAAGAGGAGGTCGACTACTGATATAAACCTTCAGATTCTCCAAAGGGTTTATGCAGAACATTATTCTGATTAGATCCGCCTGAAAGTAAAGAAGAGTAAAACCAAGTGACATGGGGAAGAAGCATCTTTTAGTGTCACCCAATTAACAGAAAAATGCAGTCACACTCACTGAAATAAGGCCCAGTTAAACAGCCATAAAGTATGATCTGTGTTGGACTGTTCTGCTTGGAAAACATAAAAATATGTCTTAAAAAAAAAAAAAAGAGGAGAGAGAAAGCATAGCTTTAAGAAGTGCCACACTCCCAACCGATACAACTTCTAGCAAAAAAAAAGGAACTGAAAGAACAACACCACCACTTGCAACAGAATCAGTACTACTAACACAAGCTTTCTATCGTTGCCAGCTAACGGGAGCCTGTTGTTCATATAGCTCATTTCACTTGCTTTCTTTCCCCCCTCCTGTTAGGAGAAGACTTGTGCAACTACTTTTGGATCCCATTCACATGTACTTGAATTAGTAAAATTACTACAGAAATATGATTTTAATGAAGCCTGCAGAGCAGGGTCTGCAAATTCCCAGTTGAACCCCTGCACTTCCACGCTGGAGGCCAACATCTTAAAAAAAAGTCATTAAACACCTGTCTGTGCCATGTGTGAAACCGATGATGGCACTGTGCAGTGACACCAAACAAATGTCATTTCTAAACTGCTATTGTACTCTGAAAAGTGACAAGGTGAAATGCCTCATGAAGGCATGAAATACTTGCGTCTTGGTTAAGTGCACCCCAAATCTGATGAGTGCATAAAGAAGATAGATAGGATTTTTCTAACTATAAGGCCTGTAAACTTGGATCTGAGTTGGGATGGAGCATTTCAGGCTCACACATCAAAGATTTTGTAAATGAAACCCCTAGCAATCCCATTACTGAGCGAGCAAGAAGAGAATCCAACTGGCTCCTTTCTGTTGGTTCTGCAGGATCAACAGAAATATAAACTTACTCGAGTCGGTAAATAAAGATGGGACTTACACAGAGCATGGCTATTGAGTAAGAACTTTTTGGACTGGATCTGCCATTTAATCCTATTGATTCCTCATTTCTTTTGAATGGTCTAATCTTTCCAGCATGCCAGTGAAGGGAACAAAGTTCTTTTGGAGTTCACTCATCTCCACCCACAAAGAAAACAAACAGCCAAGTGTTAAAGTGCAGCTCTGAGGCATCCGCTCCAGAAGCTGTGCAAGCAGGGAACGGAAAGCAAATAAAGAGAAACGGGCTTGCTTGATCTGCAGTCCTGTGAAAAGGTCTTTAATCTCTGCAGCATCCAGAAGGACAGGACAGTTGTGCTGTATATGCAAGCTCTGAAAGACACAGAAAAGTTGCTAGACAAGCAGCTCACGAGCATGGCACTGGTAAGGTTAATCCCCAGCTCTCAGAGGCTGAACTGAGAACAATTCCTTGATCAGTCTCATGAAGTCAGGGATTCTGCTCTCTGCACGTGTACACCTTACGGTTTCTCATTATAAGCACTTAATCCATGTGACCCATACACTGCAGGAGGCCTTCAGCCCCTCTTTTTCCCTCCCACATATTCCTAATATTTTACTGACAAGGAAGTTTCAGTCCCCCTCTTCTAGGAAGGAAAAAATTACATTGATTTAGGGGAGGGAAAGGTTAGTTCAGTAAGGAGAAGGTCGAATTCCTGTGGCTACAGCACAGCACAGCCTTACACATGCAGCTTCCCCCGCTACAACTTCCTTGTTAAAAAAAAGGAGTTATTTCACAGCACAGAGCTCAATCTCGCTCCAGTGATTTCCAAGCACTTTCCAAAGACTAGGAACACCAGGCACTGTCAGCATGAATCGCTGACAGCACTACAAGCATCCAACTCTAAAAATACTTAAGAGCATGGGAGTGTGGGATAGCAAAGGGCTGGAGAAAAGCAAGCGGGAAAAGAAGGTTAAGTGGAGAGACATTAAAACACATCCCACCAGAGTGCACACCTCTAGCCAGACAAAGAAAAGCTTTGCTGCTAGCTTGGGAAGAGGCAGGCACAAGAGGAGAATTGCCTCAGGTAACAAAATAAAGCAGCAATGGCCCTTACTTCTAAAGCTGTCTCCTATCTCGCTGTTGGCAGGATGCGATGCCACTTGAGCAAATTTCTGAAGTGTTCACCCTGCTTAAAAATCCTGAATATTCAGTTTAGGAACAGCAGAGACACATGTCAACATGGAAGCAGATCAAACAGAAAACCCACAAGCCGAGCTGGTTCAGCGAGTGGTCCCTTCTGAATTTCCTTTTCGAAAAAACTAACACAGATGCAAGGTTTATTACAGCATTTAATCAAAGCGGGATGTCACCCAACAGCAAAGACAGCACTGCAGCTCCTAGTAAAATTAAGGGACTGCCAGCAATTTCATTAGAAGTCCCGTTCCCCAAGGGGTTTAACTCAGCCACAAAGACTGACGTGCTGAAAGCTACAATACAAAGAAAAAAAAAAGCATTAAATCGATTCTTTATGTTACAGGAGCACCAGGTTTCAAGGACTTGTGGCTTAATATTCACATAAAACTGAACGGCTTTAAATGCAATCAGAAAGTGTTGCTGCCTGCAATTTGCAAAGGCTAACAGGGCCCTTTGAGCATCTGGAAGCGGGTGCAGGCCACACACATACACCTTAGGTTTTTAACATCGCTGGAACTCAATGCTCCAAGATTCCTTCCTACACAGATCAGTGTTGGAATAGGAACGTGCCTGCAAGACAGCACTCAAGTACAACTCCGTTTTAAAGAATATCTAAACACTTCAGTCAGCCTCGCAGTAATATATTTGGAGGTGAGGGGGGCACCACCTTTGTGGGACTGCTGCTTTGTAGCACAAAACCTGTGGCCACTATTAGCACAGCAGGAGCTGGGCACGGACATGGCCTGCTCCACCTCTGTCGTTTATAGAGATTTCAGCAATGCTGACAGGATCTTTGAGCAGTCCAGGCAAGTCTGGCTGGGTTCTGGTACGGTCTGGTTGGAAGCTGCCATCGGTCCCCCATTTGGAGAGCAGTTCCAGTTCCTTTTTATAACTGCTGCAGGCTCTCTGTGTGATTTTATGAGCTTCATTTAACTTCCCTGTACCTATTTTATATACAGTTACGCTGATGGACAGACAATAAGAATATTTTGAAAATATTTGCATAGTGCACTGACATCCTCACAGGAAGGGCAATGAACCATCACGTATCATTCTTTAATTATGCAAAGTATAGAAGAGACTTAAACACTGGGGCTGTGTGCAACCCTGAGCTTGTCCCCTCGACACCACCCCTTGCAAACACTTACCCCATTCTACAACCCATGCTAATCTCAAGGCCAACAGAGTACGCTAAAAATAAAAAATAAAAAAAAATCCAAAGGGCCTCGCTTTTGTCAGAAATTCCAAGAAAAACAGCAATGTTATAGCTGAGTTAAGGTTGAGGGCATGTGTCAGTAACTACAGGAAAACACACACTGCTGGGAAGGCATAGCTCTCCCTGCACTAGACATTACAAGGCCAGGAGATATAGAGCTGATGTTACAGTTTTATAAAACTCCAACCAAAAACAAGTGAGACACTGGTAAGGGTAAAATCAGAATCTGAAGCAAATAGAGCATCAGTAACTATCTTGGAAGGCAAGAAGACGAGGAAACGGTCGTCTGTTCCCTGGTTGCAACGCGTTCTTGGCAGCGGTAGAACACCAAATATAGCAAGCTCAAGGGAGCACAGTTTTCAATCCTCATGAATAAATATATGAAAACAGTTATGAAGGTAGAACACTTGAAATGAGTCTTCCAAGAGGACCTGGCAAATAAGGGGAACTTGATGTTTCCTCCAAAAACACAAAATGCTAATAAATAAATGTAAACGTTAATAAATTTCCACTTCTTGGCCTTAACATCCAAGCAGCTACATACAGAACCCCAAACCAGCATATCACATAGACGTAGGTACCAAGATCAGAATGCCAAATCGCTAGGAAGAAAAGCAAAATATAAAATTTTAAACATGGAGGCCTGTCAAGGTGTTCTATAATTTTAAAATGATGCGTCCCACCAGTTATAAGCTTCTCCTAAAAAGCTAGAAGATGAAAAGCCACTTCTTTACAAGCATCATTTTCCTCCTTTGCGGTGCATAAGAACTATCAGTCTAGATATGAAAGATTAAGAAATTCTGGAATATTTGAAGGAGAAAATAGCTATGAGAGCGCTGTGGCCAGGTCAGTCCACTTCTGATCTCCCTGCTTGTCAGTGTCCCTTTAAGACTTTACACCTGAACTACTCACTACCTCTAAAAAGCCTGTTATCATAGCCATACAGTGATGTTGAGGTTTACCAGGAAGTGCAGATTTCAAATATGTCCCACAGCTAATAATACAATGGCATTCAGGAAAGCCGTCACAGTTGCATGAAAATAATGTTGTGTGACAACTGAATTGCGACTCTCCTAACAAACCAGCCGTAAGTAACAACACCACAAAAGCACAGTGTTGATCTCAAAACCTTCACAATCAAGAACAGGAAACATTAGTAGATTGAAAAAAAAAAAAAAACCAAAAATCCCAACCCACTGGTCTAATAAATTAAGTGAGATTTTCTTTTCTTCAAGGCAAGACTCAAGGGTAGAACATCAAAATTGCTAAAAATTAAACCTGCAAAAGATCAACAGCCAACACTGCCTGTTGTGATTCTTCCGAAGAATTTAGCAGCTTCTAAAGCATAAAACAGTCCCTCCAGGTTACAATCAAGACTGAATAAAAATATTTTTAACTGCTACCTAGAGGCAGATTGCTGAGCAAAATAAACTTGTTTTTCCCCCAAAATTTGAAATGGGATAGAAGGCCCCAGAGTCCCCAAAACTTTAACTTATAAAGACACAAACCAAAGAAAAGTACAAGTCTCCAGACATGCACAGGCTTCCCTTTTATAAAATAAAGGGCTTTTTATTAGTGGAGTCAGAATTTCGAACTTTTGAAATGGATTTCTTTCAGCAATAGAAGTAGCTTATTAAATCAACATTTTCTGTTCTAATGGGAATTTCAAAACAACTTGCTACCAAACTAAGAAATCTGGAATTGGGAAAAAGGACATGTTTCTACAATCTTTTCCATCCTTCTACCACTGATCTCCATGATGCAAAACTAAGAACTTCAGAATTTGCTTTAGGTTAACCTTGAGGAATCAAAATGCCCCTGAAAGGTGAAAATAAAAAGCCTACAACTTGTATCAGAAGCCGAGAGCAGAGCTGCTTTCTACAGACATGCTCAGAGCCTGACCCCAAACCTCTGGATTTAACATTCAGTGCAGAACTCTGATTTCCCAGCTTACCTCCCACTCCTGCCCTATGTGCCTCCAAAGTAAAGGTGAGATTAGGAATCAAGATTGCTTTTTAAAAAAAAAAAAATGTATCTGCCTTCCTTAACAAAAAAACCCCAAAAAACCTGAATTCCCAATACCCAACTAAGATTCTTATATTACTACAACTTAATATAAGGCAAAATATAGATTCACCAGTTTACAGTGCACCTAAGCAATCAAAGATGATGTTCAGAAGTACATTTAATCCAAGGCCCTTCCAGATTCTTTTCATATCTCTTTGCTCTCATGAATCACAGCCTCTCTTGATTAAAATGAAAATTAGTACTTTGATCATGAATTTCCAAAATGATCGCCCATAGCTAATAAACTCACAACCAGCTTTCGTACAGGTCCATTTAGGGTGTTCTGAATATAACCTTGTTAGGAATAATCACAGTTGCAAACCTGCTATCAAACCCATGAACACAGAACTCTATGGACTAAAAAAGGCACAGAAATAAGAGACCAGGTTAATGCAGGTTAGTTAGAGGAAGGTACATACGCAGCATTCGTCTCGATTCTCATACCTATAAAAAGTACAGAGAGGGGTAAAGTGACTTGTTCACGGCTACAATGAGGTTTAGGGTCAGACTAGAGATTAAAACAAGAGCATTAACATTCATGACCCTTAGCTCAATGTTGCAACAACTAAAACACAGCTCTCTCTGAAAACCAGTGAGTTCAAATGGTTTTCAGAGATAATTAGGACAGAAATTAAAAATCAAGCAAACAAACTGAATTAAAAACAGAAAGGAGAAAGTGGTATGCCTCTAAGCAAGACAACCACACGTAAGGAAATTCCAAACATATAGCATCCTTCTCCAGCTACGATGTGCTGGAGTCCAACATCTTGCACTTAACACAATCCACAATCACCTGAGAACTGCAGTCAGTAGAGTATCATATGATGTAAAAAAAATCTTCCTAAAATTAGAGACTGAAGTAACATTTGTGCAAAAACTTTGATAAGTGCAAAGAAGTTCTTGCTATTAAAATGACTTGAAAGAAATCAGTGCATTTGAAGATTTACGAAAAGGGGGTGGGGAGGGGAAGTTATGAACCAAGGGAAATGAAAGTGCCTGAGGAAACCTTCCCAGAGTAACTCAGTGGACACAAGCTTCTGAGTTTAACAGGGAATAAATATGGTTTAAAAACACCCAGCTGTACAAATCTATCAATCGATAGACAGATGGGCAGATACACACATGCTTGAAAAACTGGAAATCTTCTCCCAGCACAGTTTTAAGTTGTTGCAGTTTCTGCACTATGACTAACCAAAGAAAAAAAAAAGGCAAGTCTGCAAGAAGGACTGACTTCTATGCCTCTAATGCTGTTGCTTACAACAACCCCGTGTTAAAGTTGCTTGGTTAAATACCAATTCTCTTAAGCAGGAAATGTCATGATACTGGAGCAGGATAATTTTATGGTGTTTTAAAAAAAAAAAATGTTTTGCCTGATTGTTCATCAGGACAGTACAGAAATGAGAAGCCAAAGAATAAATGAGTTTAAAAAAAATGGAGCCAGTGTTATACAACCTGTGCATTTCCTACCAAGAAACAGACATTTTTCGGACCATATGCTGAGAACTGTGCAAATTCCACATGCCTTAAATTTTTGGGAAAGCTTCCTAAAAAGCATTGAAAAAAAGAAGATGGAAAAAAAAAAGCATTTCAAACAGCTCAGTAACCAAAAGCCTTTTAAAATGACTAGTTTAAGAAGGTTCAGGTTGCAAATACTGATTTCATTAAAGGCTACACATTAAAAAGTACGTGGCCTCAAATCAGCAGAAACAAACGTTAGCAGAAGGCTCCTCTCCTGTAGGCTTTTAGTTTTCTAATGGGAACTTCTGCGAGACCGAGAGACCCGAGCACAACTCGAATCACAACAGATCGACTGGCAGATCGAAGAAACGGCAGCTTTACCAGACATGACGGAAACAGCACCGAAACAGGCTGGACGGTGCAGCCCACAACCCCAAAACGGACCGAGATGAGCGGCTCAGCAACTGAAACTCAGAGTTAAGGATGACAGCCTACAAGACGTACAAAAAACCTCAATCTTGGTTCCAAAACAATACCTTTTATTAGACCGGCTGGGAAAATCGCAAGAAAACTGTGCTTTTCTGCAAGCTGTCGGGATCGAAGTCCCTTCGCCAGGCTCTGGGAAAAGGAGAGATGGTACAGGATGGGGAAAAGTCCCCGTACGTAGGAAATAAACGTCATTTTTGCACCAAGGGAGCCGAAGATGCAAGG